AATGTCTGTACGAGTCTCTCGTCATGTTCCTCCTGGTTCTTTCCGAACACGACAATGTCATCCATGAGACATACCACACCTTGTTGACCACCTAGTATTCGGTAGATCTCACTCTGAAACTTCTCAGGGCCAGATTTGATACCGAAGGGAATTCGCTTGTATGAAATCGACCAAATGGTGAGATGAACGTGGTCAGTTTCCTTGAATCTTCATCCAAGCAGATTTGGTGGAAGCCCGCATTGGCATCCAGTTTAGAGAAAACCTTAGCACCTCCCATCAGAGCAATTGTATAATCCACTGTGGGGAGCATGATTCTTTCTCTCTTCACTACTTCGTTAAGCTTCGTGAGATCCACACAGATCCTCACTTTGCCATTTCCTTTAGGCACCACGACCATAGGAGAACACCATTCCGATGGTTCTGTGCACCGTTCTATAACATCTAGCTCGATAAGCTTGTCAAGTTCAGCTTTGGCTAGAGGAAGTAGTGGAATAGATATCCTCCTGGGAGTCATCACACTGTATGGCTCTGCGTTTTGCTCGATCTTAATCTTATATTCTCCTTCTAGCTTTCCTAAGCCTTTGAACATTGATCCGAACTCCGCTGACTGGATAGGATCTGACGTAACTTTTCCAATGAACTTAACGACACCTAGATCTGCACAAGCGTCTCTACCTAGCAATAGAGAGCCTTTGGGGAACACATATATATCCTCTGTGATTGTCTGATCACCTTTCTTTAGTTCTGCAGTAAAGAATCCAAGAGTTGAAAGGTTGCTTTGATCTGGGCCACTAAGAGGCCTGTCAGGCTTCTGCAAAATGAAGTGTGAAAACTGTGTATCATACACAGCTTTGGAAATGACTGTCACATCTGCTCCAGTATCAACAGCAAATTTCAGGCTCTGACCTGACACCTGGACTTCCGTAAACCATGCACTCCTACGTTTCCTGTTGTTGATACTCTCAATAGAGTAACTTTCATCACTGATGCTTCCTAAGAAGTAGTACTCATCTGAGTCAGACTGCACTTCTGCTACCTCTTGTACAGACCCTTTTCCTTTACTACTCCTGCAGACCTTGCCCCAATGTCCTGGGCGTTTGCACTTGTTACATTTACTGTCTTTTGCAGGGCATCTTTCTCTGGGGTGCACCTCCTTTCCACACCACCGGCATGACCGGCTATTCGACGCCTGGGAGCAATTTGATGCACTTCTTTGCTGCCCGTTACTACGTGGTCCCTTGTCACGAGGGCCTCCTTTCCGCCTATGTTGAACTGCCTGCACTTTAGAAGTCTCTCCTTTTATATCCTGAGCCCACCTTCCAGAACATTCTTCTGCTCTACACTCATTTATCGCTTTTTCTAAAGTCAGTTCACCATCTCTCAACAGCCGTGCTCTGACCGTATCACTATTTATACCCAATACGATCTTATCTCTGACAAAATCGTCCTTTAGTTCACCGTAGGCACACGTAGACACGAGAGTGTTAATTTGTGATAAGAAATTATCGAAACTCTCACCTTCTGATTGCGTATACCTGTGAAACTTGTAACGTTCATAAGTAACATTTGTTTTCGGCGTGCAGAACCTCTGGAATTTCTCCAGAATTAATTCCGGATCCAGTTTGTCCTCTGCTGGTACATGTTCCTCCCCTTCGGGGTCACCTTCAGCTGGAGCCCATGTGAAGCCATTGTAGATTTTCAGCGCCTCCTCACCTGCGAGATTTAGCAGTATAGCACTTCTCCTTTCCTTACTGGCAGTAGATAATCCAATGGCGTTCACATATAATTCGTACTGCTGCTTGAACAACTTGAAATTCTCACTTGCATTTCCCGATAGACAAAGAGCTTTCGGTGGTGGAAGATTCGTAGCCATATTTCCGCGTAATTCCTGATCCCTGATCGCTCAATATCCGTTCTGGACACAGTTTATATCTTCTTGTTCACTTCTGACACCATGTGGTGTTCGGATGGCACGAGAAACGGAGATATATTCTTGGATTTCAACACTGAACTTTTAATAATTTCTAACATGTGTCGTCGCCATTACCGGAAGTGATCATACATCGAATCATGAACGGAAGCGAGGCTGAATTAATGTAAACGTAAATCGAATACAGCACAGATCTACAAGTTATATTTCTGGCCTCTGCATGCATAATGTTGTATATGTTTATAAATAATATTGGAATTGTAAGATAGCATATTTTTATTTTATTTTAGCTTACTTTCTCGAAGATATTAGCTCTACAGCTACACTGAATTTCGAGCATAAATAAAGTATAAGTATATGTAACTACAAGTCTGCATTTGTTTTGGTTTCCCCCATGATGTCAAGTTAACCCATTAATGATTAGTGCAGCCGTTCAAAAAATTTAACCCCATTGCTTCCTCCTAGCCAACCTTCACCGAGTTATAAGTTTTCGGGAAATTTTAACCAGGTTTCTTATATACAAACCCAGTTATCTATTTCAGTGCGGCCGCTACCATTGTCTTTAATTGTTTCGCATTTGGTATCCCTTTTGGTTTTTTACCTTTCGCTTGTTTCTTTCGTTTCGCTCCTAGGTAGTTTTGACGGTTTTGCCAGCCTCTCTGATTGCATTTAGTTTCACTTCGAAGTTTCGGGTTTTGGTAAATAGGGTTAGGTAAAAAGTGTGAAATTGCTAATAAACGTGTTTGGCGGTGGAGTTTAAATACAACAGTGTACACATCATTAAATGTTTTGCAATGCCTCATTTAAATGCCATTGTTACAGACTCCTGTAAGTTGGAATGAAAAAGGAGAGAGATACAGGAAAAGTAACCAGAAACAGGACTAGACAAACATTAGTGAATCGGCCTACATATACGTACGGTACGCAGGGAAGGAAGTTATACATTCCTACAGCAAATTGCTCGTGATTAAACACAAGTTCGTGGTCTACAATCTGCGTGTTTTCAAGGTCTTAGAAACATCATTGAAATCAGAGTCTGTAATTTGTTTCAAATCTGTTTCATAAATACATGTTACAATATCCATCATATTTTTGAGTCGCATTCCATTGTGATGTAAAGCGAAAAATGTACGTTTAATTCTCAAGCGAACTACGTATGCCTGTATGTTTGGATGTTGAAATACATTTAATTTAATTTGTTGATCAAATTTTTAATGCTGTTATGAAATGTTTTGATTTAACACAAAGTAAGATTCCTTGCTGCGGTCACTATTCTATAACAAGAGACATTTCCTCTCGAATGACGACAACCTAACTTAAATCGTTGTATGATGAAGCGGAAGTTTGGTGATTTTCTCAGGATTTCAACAACGCTTTACTAACATTTGTACCAAGTAGAGTTACAAAATCTAGGCATATCTACTTACCTCTACACAGAGATGCTGATTCGTCCTGTGTATGGTTAGCAGGATGCCTCCCAGGCTGAAGAGAAGGCGCGCTTAGCCGTTCACAAACATTACAAAAGACACTCATCGTTCTCAGTTTACATGTGACGTGATGATTCGATTTGGTGGCGGGGCGCTTATTTACTTTTGGTTCCTCAAGGGAGGCGCTTACTCGAAACAGGGCCTTTACCAGGGACAGAGCACTCATTTCTTTTTTGAGAGACAGCAGCATGTGAAACAACGCTTTGATGCTTATAGGACTGAAGGTCAAAAAGACTGGAAAGGGACTTTTCGTCCCTGGATCCTTCCTCCTTATAATGACTGGCCAAGAAATCGTTGCAAATTTTAAGACGGGTTCTTTGGTTTTAAGAAACTGTGCACTCACGGCTACATAATAGTTAAGAGAATGTAACAAAGACTACTCTTTCGTCGTGGGGCTTTAAGTGTGCAATTAAGTTCATGTACATGTACTATAACAGTGCTATTACTGAAACAGAACAGGGGCGCTCATTGGAATATGAGCGCTTATGGGTATAGGGACGCTTATTGGAATGAGGGTAATTACTCAGTAGGAGCGCTTATTGACAAGAAAAAATTCGAGTGAGGCACTTATTAGAGAGGGGTCGCTTTTTGGAAGGAGGGCGCTAACTCGAATCGTTGAGGTAATTATAGAAATAGGAACGATTGCGTGACTATTTCAACTAACGTCTGGGAGAAAAAGCGCGCGTCACGCGATCATGCTCAAGTCTTTTTCAGTTATTTTTTTTTGTAAACAACTGAACCCAAATTTCATAATGTATTTAATCCCAAACAACCCATTATGACGTGTGGCAGCCTTCCATTTCTTATTTTACCTTGTAATTTACTTCGACTCTATAAGAATAATGGCTTTTTAGGCACTGTAGTGAGCAGTTGATAACTAAACAAAACAGACATGTGCACAAACAAGTAACTCAAGTTTCCAGAGCATACCTTGACTTAAATCGGTTTGTGATCTTCCGTGATGCAGCGGAACTTGTAAGATATCTTCAGGGATTCAACAGCGAAAAACGTAAAATATTGCTAAGAATACATCTTGAGGCATCTCATTTTTGATCAAGATGCTGATTCATCTTGTGAATGGTCAGCAAGGTGTCTCACAAGCTGGAGAGCGACCGCCGTCAGTTATGACCATGATCAATACGTTCATGAAAATTTCCTGATAAATCCACCCATGCATCAAATTGGCCTCTTTCCCACTTTGCATGTCATGTGGTGTCTAAAGAATGTGACAGGGAGTGACAGGGACGACTGCGTGATCAGCGAGTAAACAAGATTCTGAGCGTCACGCGATCACGCAGATGCCTTTTTCACGCCTCTTTACACTCAAAAAGTTAACTATAAATAATTTGTGTAATTAAACGAAATAAGCTGTATTAATTATGCCCTACAGGTTTTGTGCCGAACAACTCGAAGCTTCAACATTCCCCCACCCGGTACACACTTTCCTGTATTTTAACTAGTCTGGCGGAATGTTATACCACAAGTGGCTCTTTACCCGGGCCCCTTGGACTGAGCGATCACGACTTAATCTTCACCGTGTGAAAAATGAGAATTCAAGGCCAAAGCCGTGCTCTTGATCAGTACGTGCTCTTGCGAAAAAAGGTGGATTCGTGACGACTAGCTGCCATAAATATCACCTGATTTGCTGTGAGAAATTTCGCACCGAAACAAATTGTCCAAGCGCCACAAGCAACATCCTTCCTCTACTTCTTGGGAAGATTATAAGGGGCAATGTTACAAGGTTACCTCACTAAAGCGTAACTTTTTGAAAAAGTTCAGTTGTGACGCTTTCTTGAATGCTAAACATCCGCAAGAATTCTGCCCACTAGTTCTGGTGAAAGCATACATAGCGTCATCCTCGTTGAAGTCAATAGTGTTGTTTCCGACCCTAAGTTTGTAGCCGAGGTCTTCAGTGATCACTTTGCCAACATTATTCATGAAGAGCATGGATCTGACATTGACTACTCTGACCATCTTAGTATTAAGGCAATAAGCAAACGGCAATTCACTGGCGAGTTTAACTACTCGCCAATCAATACCTCATATATCCGTAAAATTTTGGACCACCTTAATCCGAGAAAGACAGTTGGGGTAGACGGCATTTCACCACAACTCTTGCGTTTGGGATCCCGGCAGTTTTCGCCGAAGAGGTGACTAAATACTGCATACTGAATCGCTCATTGCCTTCTGAATGGAAGCAAGCGCGCCTCACTCCAGTCTTTAAACGAGGGACTGACAGATAAAGCAAACTACCTCCCTGTTTCAATCCCAACTTCTCTGTCGAGGGTGTTTGAGAAAGTTATTTATGATCAAACTTGGAAAGTATTTCACAACGTTTTGTCCTCTAACTTATCTGGTTTTATGAAAACCCATTCTTGCTACACTAAATTGCTACAAATGACTGAAGGTTGGAAGAACAGCATTGACAACAGGGAAGCTATTGCGGCGGTCGCTGTAGACCTGAGCAAAGCGTTTGACGCAATTAACCACCGCCTTTTGCTAGAGAAACTGAAGGCCTACGGCTTCTCTCTACATGCCCTGGAAATGATGTCCTCTTACCTGCTGGGCCGTCAAAAATGTGTCAGTGTAACGGGCGTGTGTTCTAACTTCATATCAATTATAACTGGTGTCCCTAAAGGTTCACTTTTAGGGCCCATGCTCTTCAATATCTTTATTAATGACTTGAGTTGTGTACCTAGTGTCTCATTGCAGCTGTACGCCGATGAGACGACTGCCTTCTTGTCAGATGTATCTCCTACCATCCTGCAATTTTCCATTGAAAAAGATCTTCAAACTCTTTCGTTGTGGTTTGGCTTTTAACCACTTAATAGTGAACAGTACTAAGACTCAAGCATCATCCGTCGGACCTTGTGACTATGTTTATTCTTTATTTCTTAACGTGATGTTAAAATAGAACTTTTCAAATCTATTAAGATTGTTGGAGTTAGTCTAGATTGGCACCTATTGATTACTTAACGTTTTGCTCTTTGCCACATTAAAATATCTATAATTTTACGAAGAATGGCTGCATTGAGGACTTCTTTTATATGTATCGAAAGAAATGAGAGAATTATCTGCACAGTCAGCCTTATGAAGTAATTAACTTAATTAACATGGCTGACACTTAGCTATATAAAGCTAGTTTATGGGTCAGTCACGAAAGAAAAGATAAATAAATAAACCTAAAATCTATATGAAAGTGTTTAAAATGATATAGTATTATGGAACTGCATAACATTATAGAACTATTAAACATATAAGAACTGGGTTAATATGCGAATAAGGTCTATAAACTTACAACTATATGAAAGTGTTTAAAATGATATAGTATATGGAGCTACATAAAATTATAGAACTATAGTACTAAAAAATTGAAAAAAAAACTAAGTTAAATTGCAAATAAGAGATTATAAACTTGCAAGGTCGAGCTCCTTGAGTCCACGTTTAAAACTGCGGTAGCCATCGATATTTCTTAAATTATTAGGAATAGTGTTCCATAGTCGAGCAGCCTGATATCTCCATAACTTGATCCCGTATTTTTTGGATTTTATTTTATGTAATTTTAAAATAGCATCACCACGTAAATTATAGTTAAAATTGAGTGCCGTCAATAACTCGGAAATACTTGTAGGTGTGTTTCCATTCCCAATTACTCCAAACACTGTATTTAACATTTCTGCAAGTCTTTGATTTGCTAATGTGCTATATCTATTTTTTTTAGATCCTGTGATAAATCACAAACCAACACTGAAAATCATCTTGTTAAACAACATACACCTGAAATCAAACTTGTTTAACACTGTTACATTTTATATAAAGAGGAATTAGGCCAAGAATATTTATTGACTGAGTCATTTTAACGACAACTTTTACATTAAGGAACGTTCCTTGTAGGCTAACGTCACAAGACTTACCAAAATTTAGATATCTTCCAATTACATCCATGCTGGGGCTTATGCTGATTATCTAATTAGAGAAATAAGGTTAAGTGTTCAAGAAATGTACCTTATATCATATGATAAAAAAAATATTATTAAGTGACCACCTTTCCTACAGCCCTACAGGTGCTCATACCTGACAAGACCACCCAGAGAATACAGGGTAACTTTTAAGACAAAGGTTCAGAAGTTCATTTGAGAACAAGGAACTGCTGATGTCTCCTCTTTAAAGGTTATGAATATTTACTTAAAGGCCCGTCCCCAGCTAGTACTCATTTTCAAACTTAGGAAACTGCATAAGTGCACATTATTTGTGAGCATTTGAAATGATGTAATATTTTTGTGGTTGAGCAGTTCATCAGCTTCGCAGTCTGCTCAGTAAGTTCATATTTAACAAAATGTAAAGACGTATACCTAGTTAGGGCGAACTTGATTCAGATGGATGTATGTTATTTTCATACAAGCTGATTAACAAGAAGTTCTCTGCATAGAGTCGGATAAAAATAGTTTGATCAAAGTAACCGAATTTACATTTACATTAGAGAATCTCTACCTACGAAATTTGAACCAGTATCTCTCTTACAGCTGGAACATTCTTTCTCTACTACTTTTCAAGTAAGCCCTCGGTTATTTCTTTTCTAACCGACAATGTTCCCAGTAACTTCTGTTTATGTGGGAGAAAACAAAAATCTGTGTAAAAGGAAGTTTAATGGGAAAAAAATTCTGTGGTGTCTTTCCTTTATTTTTTTTCAAAACCTAAACTGAAAAATAAACCACTGGGTTAATCAATTAAAATAAAATTACGGATTTATGCTAACCTTCTTTCGACAAAACTCCCAAATACTTTTCGAGAAGCTATTTCTAAGGGAATACTTGGGTATCAAAAGTTTTTTTCAGAGCATCCAGAGACACCCCACATTTCCTTTGAAGTTTAGCTTTTTCTGCACCAGAAAGAAGCTTCAGCTTTAAAGTATGACATTGTTTAACATCTCCTAAGAGCTGTAAATAAAACAAAGTGAAAAAACTAAGGTCTCAAATCATTTCTTACAGACAGATGCTCAGCTCATGGTAAGTACAAGCAATTGTTTGCTCCCTCAATTCCTGTTTCTCTTACGGAAATCAAGACTACTTTCCGAAAGAAAAAAATAGCTAAACGAATAAACAAAACTTTGAAAACCATTGGTAGAACTCCTCAATTTTAATACAAGTCAGCCTGAATACAAGTGTAGAAAGTAGCTCCTTGGTCTCCTTCAAACACTGACATAAACTTTCTTTCATTAATATCTGAAAACAAGCAGCCGTCCTCACTTTGGTTTTATTTTATTTTTTCCTTTTTTCTGGCCCTAAATACAAAAGGAATATATATCACATGGTTAAAGGGATGAAATAAGGAATAGAGTGTATCCAGTTTCTATGTTTCCACAGTAAATACTCAAAATCATATTGTTTAAGACATTCAAAAACAGATTTCAGAATTCAGCCTTCCTCAAACGTAAACAAACTTACTTAAATGGGTTCTCATCTTAACAGAAAAAAATGACTTGCTTCCAAGTTTAACAGGTTAAATGGTAGCGACAAAGAGTGACTGTATAATGTTCTAATGTATGTAAGCCTTTTCAACAACTCGGAATGTTAAATCTTTACTTGAAATCATTAAAATCATCGAAAAGCCACAATATTTGCTTCGCTTTGGATTTCCTCTCTCATTTTGGCATCCTTTCAAAATTTAATGAACGCTAGCTAATGTTAAGTAGTTATTACTAGTACTGAAAGTTCCATCGTGTTTAAGATTCAAGTAGGAAGAAAATCTCTGCACACCGTTTGGTACCTCGATTCTCGATCAACTTTCCACATTACAGGATAGTCCTTTACTGCGGAATGTCAAATAAAAAGCATACAGCAAAAAGAAGCAAGCTGAAAAATGTCTTATTTTCACCGTAAACAGTCTTTTTAGTTCTGTATTCATATTTATTAGCGGGTTAACAGGCAAAGTGATTTTAAACGCCGAGAATCTAAAGCAAGTAGCCATTAACGATTTACGCTCGATCTATGATGCGCCCTCTGCATTATTCTCTTCTACATTATTTACAATGTAAAGTGAACAGTAGTTTTAAATTTAGCAAATCTGCAATAAGTAAGACTTAAATGTGTCTTTGCATTTCCTCGACTTCTTGATAGAGACCTCAACCTGGGCCACGAATTACCTTTTCCAATGTTAAAATGACTAAAATGCAACAAGGAATAGCCACCAGAGTGTGTCCAAAATAGACTTGTCCAATCCCGCATCCCGCTTCTATTTTTCATTCCGTCCCGCTATCCCGCCGTAATGAACATTTCGATCCCAATCCCGCCTGGTTAAACCCACGTTGCTCTAGTTCAACCCCCTATTTAAACTGATGGACAAATTATAGCCTTTGCGATATTGATAATGTTCTCTCATAATGGAGAAAGGGAAAGGCTTACTTAACGCCTATCTAGCCGGCTTAAAAAACAGTTGTTCCTCGGTGTGTTTACGGTCTTTACAAGTGAGAAAATTAACTCCACCTACGGAAGGACCAACAGCTCATTTCATCTCAAAGATATAACAGACGAAGAAGTGATACTCTTTTCAATGGACGTTACGAGTTTATGCACAGATACATCCCTCCGCTCCATTTAGACTGATTTTGCAGGAAAACTCATCCCGATTCAACGAACAAAATTACTTGGAAACGCACGGAAACCCTATGGGCGCCGAAACGGCAGTAGCGTAAGCAAATATCTTCAGAGCTAAAATCGAAGTGCAAATTCTAGATAAAGGCACCAATAAACCGCTCGTTTGGAGACTTAAACTCTCTCTTGCTCACCAACAAATACATCGTCAACCGGTTCATTGAACAAGCAAATAAACACCACCTAACAATCAAATTTACGGCTGAGATATCTGTCTCAGAAGCTCCTTCCTTTCCACTATTTGTAAGGGTGAAAGATTCAACATCGAGTGACTTTTAACTGGAGCTAAATAATGATCCCGCCTATACCCGTCCAATCCCTTATCCCACCTATACCCGTCCAATCCCTTATCCCGCCTATACCTGTCCAATCCCTTATCCCGCCTATACCCGTCCAATCCCTTATCCCGCCTATACCCGTCCAATCCCTTATCCCGCCTATACCCGTCCAATCCCTTATCCCGCCTATACCCGTCCAATCCCTTATCCCGCCTATACCCGTCCA